CACGAACGTATGGTGGCCCCACAACGAACTCGTAGCGGCAGTGCAAGCCGCCACTGGGGCAGATACAGAACTTTTTGCCTCCCCCCTAGACGTACATCGGAACATGCCCAGCTACCTCAGCACGCACCCCAGGGACCAGCTGTTCGGAGCCGGCATGGATGCCTACTCCCACCGATGGGTGGGGGCATGCTTTGCACACCCCCCAGAGCAGCCTGAAGAACTGGAACGAGCGGTGCGTTGGGCACTGGCCAGCGCCCGAGAGGCGGACCGCCATACCCCTGTCTTGACGGTCATGCTTCTGCCCGACAATGCTGCACTCACTGCCGTGGACGCCGCGCCCCACGCTCGATGGCTCGCCTACCCGGAGGTGGTCGACTTGGCATGCTTCCCCCCGTCAGTGGCGCCACTGCTTGCAGCCAACGACTGGACAGGCGCCCCCCCGCGGTTTGGGTCCCGGCAATGCACAGGACACCGCCTAGTCGCCATCGGCAACAATATTGGGCGCGAGCGCATCCTCCGGCGGGACTTTGGTGAACTGTGGGCCGACCTACATCGTCGGATACAGCTGCCGGTGTCATTTGGTCTCCCTTGGCCATGGCAACAAACTGATGGCCAGGGCCCGCCACGCTACAATGAGCAGGCCTATAATGCTGCTGTGATACAACGTGCTGAGCGATACGAGCAGGCACGCCAAGAACTGACCGAGCAGTATCGCCGACCCCGCAAGCACGCAACTGCAGCCAGCGACACTAGTAGCCTATGGCGCTGGCCCCCCGATGGACAGGCATCCACCCTGCCGCCTGTTGCGCAACTGCAACAACTGTACGGCAGCCAACAACGCCGGCCACGATACGAGTGGCGGCTTGCGTTTTTCACAGACGGTAGTGTGCAAGCGACAGAAGAGGGAGCCCTCGTGGGAGCCGCTGTATGGCACTCGACCTTGGGGGCCTACAAGATCAACACTAACGGGGACGGTCCCGACAACACCATTACCAGGGCAGAGCTGGCCGCCATCTTCTGCACGGTGGCACAA